ACATCCTTGAGATGAAATCCTTTCTGCAGGCTTCGCCACTTCAGGGTGAGCGGCGTCGGCGGCGCCGCCGAGCTGCTGAGGATGAAGAAGAGGAGGAGAGTGAAGCCCTACAGGACGAGTCGGACGGGGAGGGCGAGGAGGCCGAACCTTTGCAGAACGAGCCTGCTGGAGATTGTCATGATGGCAGTGATAACGAAAGCACAGGCACGCCTTGCAAGTTGGCTTGGATGTCAATGTTTTTTGATGTTTTGTGTTTGAGTGTGTGTGTGTGTGTGAGTTTAGCCTTAATTCTGTGGAGTGGATTTGGTGTCTTGAAATTCAATGGCAGCCGAGGCGACAGTCCACCTGCAGCTGAAGGGCAAGACTCGCCAGTATCTTTGACTGCCTCCACTCGTCGATTGGGGGATTCACCGCCATCGGAGAAGGAAGAGGTGGATCTACGTGATTCCCAGGTTAGCTCAGGGTGGTTGGGCAAGTTCTATGCAGCATATGGAGGCGACAATCCAAGGTGCAAGCTTCCTGACCCTGAGCTTGATGGGGAGAGCATCAAGTCTGTCGAGGATGATGCTATGCCTGATTTGCAAGGTGACATGCTGCCAATCAGAGAGATCTTGGATGTCATCCAGGCTTCTTTGTCCAGCAATGGCCTGTTCGGTGAGTAACTTGCATGTTTCAGCCATCAAAGCTTCGGTGTTTTCTGTTTAAGCAGTTTGCCATTGGTATAAGTTGGATTTGGTTCGTGGGGAAATTGACCCTTTGGATAGTTGTTTTTCATTTTACTATGCAATTCAAACTGCAGGCATCCGATGATGCCAGATTACTTGGACTATTGCGACAAAGCCTTGACTAAACATGGCTCCTGCGTCGGTGACACACTTGCCAGCCGCCAGCACTTCCACGAATGGATTTACACCCAGAAAGCTGAGGACATTGTATCGAACATGAACATGTTTCTGTGCAGTCTACACTCCCAAACCCAAGTTGATATAAGTTGATATAGAGATATATAGAGTAATTATTATAGAGTCCATTCCTCCATACCATCTCCCAGGACTCTCCTTCACCGTCAGCGCCAGCTGAATGCAAGCCCAAGAAGGCCCCCTGTTGACGAGCATACGTTCAACCCGTTTCTGAACGCCAGCTGCGAGATTGGTTCACACATGCGGATTGAAATGTGTCATTACTTAGATCAAAGGCAAAAGGTTTCATTTGCAAGGTAAAAGAAGTATTTCAGCGGCCCAGCTGTGAGTTTGCCCGTCGTGAGGAAAGCGGGGGCGCTGCTATCTCAGAGGCTTTCAAGCTGATGAACATGGACGCACGAAAGGCTACAGAGTTGGACGGTGAACACATCATCACCCCAGCGACCAAAAAACCTCGCCTCACTGACAGCGTGGAGATGAATTTGAGCATCACACCACCACCACCTGTTGAGCGGCAATCTGTTTCTTTGCCCTCTTGAGAAGGGTTTGAAAACTATTGTGTGAATCTACAACAGTTACATCAGATCATACTCTGAATTCAGGTCCTGAATCTTCCTTTCGGGTGCACCGAACAAATAAATGTCTGACCCATGTGAACCACCGCGCCGAGGTTAAAGCGATGGCCAAGATCAAGAAGGAGTCCAAAGCCGCCCCGTCCCAAACATGCTCGGGGGAGCGGACAACCAGGTTCAGGGACTACAACTTGGAAGGGTTGCCTCACGAGGCGCTTCCTTTCAAGGGCATGGACTACAAAGGGAAACACAGCTACACTGTAGCTCTTGGCGACGCAGCCCCCCGGCCCACATAACAAAGACGTAACTATGTCTAAGTATGTCTAAGTTCAACCAAATTGCATGTCACCCATCATCCAAAAGGCCAATTGCTGGTCAACCATTCCCATTCACCAAGGCTTTGGAGGTCTTGTGCAAAGTCCAGGCGTACGTTGTCAAACGTCCACGTGATGGAACTGAGAGGCCCGGCGTTGCACAGGTCCTATGGAAGCGCCATGGTGGGCCTATCAAAGCGTGGGATGAAGCCAAGTCTCGCGCTGGACTCTAGGATAGTCTAGGATGGTTTTGTCTCGCGCACGCCTAAGCTGACCCGGTCTTTGGCCTTCAACTATATACATATATATATATATATTGTCTTCTAAAGGATGTTCTAAATATATAGACACGAAATGTTTCCCATACATTCTCATCGATCTCAAGAGCCATGAACCGGGCAGCACGTGTGCCCATGTGTGGAGTTGCCACTGCTTTCAAAGAGCCTATGAAGGTTCTCGCGCACACCTAGGCTGACCCGGTCTTTGGCCTTCAACTATATATATATATATTGTCTTCTGAAGTCTGGATGCTCTAAATAGACATTCAAAACCTCAAGACACCAAATGATTCCCCATATACCATCAATCTCAAGAGCCATGAGCCGGGCAGCACGTGTGCCCATGTGGGGTTGCCACTGCTTCCAATGAGCCTAGTGGCATCAGTGGGGGTTTTCGATCGTAGAACCGTAGAACACGGAATCGTACATGAGTACACGAAATCGCGCTGTGTGATCAGGGTTTTTCCATTTGGTATCCCTGTCAAATCCTTTCAGAGCGTGATAGACTGATGACTTGGGGGTTATTTGAAGAGACATCATTTCATTGCAGCCGGGTCAACTCACCACAGAAGCTCAAGTCTGATCCTTCCACTCCAGGTACTGTGGCGCCTGGCGACCCTTGATCGAGCAAACAAGGACCTGCCAGGGTCGAGGTGGCCCATGGGGTTGCAGGTGGCCGTCTTGTTAAAACCCATATCCACATTGTAGCTGCTTTTGTTGATCACCAGCTGACTTCGATTCGTTTGTCCATGCCATGGCCCCCACTGCCAAAGAAATCAAGAAGGAGTCCAAGAAGGGGATGCCGTTTCCAAGGGCGCGTTTAGTGCGGCAGCCTCGAGACATGCGGGTTCGGCAGCTGTCAAACATATTGGCGGGATTGAACTACCTTCGCGCACCGGTGGCGACTTGTCTTCGAAGTTGCGCTGCTTTGGGGGGGTATGTGCGGGGCGAAGCTGCAGATACGGGATGTAACATGATGATGTAATATAATATGATCAATCTCGCTTGTGGGAACGCTCAGGTCGTGTGCACACTGGTGTCTTTATTGTTCACGGTGCCTGGCCTGCCGTGGGACAGGCCTATAGACCACTTAGAGGTATTTGCCGGTAAGATGGCTGTGACGCTGGCTGAGGTGGAGGCAGATAGGTGACCAAAGTTCATTTCATTTAAGCAAAAAAAGAGAGTTACCTGCATGTGTTGTGGGTGTCGTGTTTGTGGATAATACCAACAAGGTGTTCCTGCCCCCTGTCAGGCAGGACGCCGCGCTGTGCCCATTGACCTAGAGATCGGTGGATCGTCTATGGACCTGACCACGGACATTGGTTTCGCCAACTGCCTCTATCACGCTGCAAACCTCCGTGAAGGAGGAGCCTGCATGGCTGCACCTGTATGCGGGTCATTTGTGTTCATGAAACGTGGAGTATACACTGCAAAAGCTTTTGTGTTTCTTGATGCTTTGACAGGTCTAAGACACCAAAAGTCTTACTTCACGATCGCCTGAACCCCATCACTGTTTGCTGCGTCTGGCCGAGGAGTCGCGGCTCCACGCAGCGCTCGATTGCCAACCCGATGGGCCAGGGAGAGTCATGCCGCATAGGAAACTTGCTGGTTTCGCGATTGTGCGTGGTGCTCCTGATTTGCGCAGCCAAGTGTGTCTGGTTTTGCGTTGAACAACCTGGCACGAGCATCATGGAGTACCACACGCTTTTCCAAAGGTTCATCAAGATTGTAGCCGTCCGGAAACTGAAGTTCATGATGGGTGATTATGGTGCACCTACCTTGAAGCCTTCAATCCTCTACTCGAGTTGCTTGTCTCAGCTTCATGCCTTAAAAGGGGGGTTCCTTGCGTGTCCTCTCAACTCATTTGCTTTCAACCTCTGTTGGAGAGGCTCTGACAATATGTTGTATATTCGTTTGGCAACTTTGAAACCCTCTCAGTTAGGAAACGCCGAACCCTTCCGAAAGAACATGAATGTGTCTCTCTACTCCCAGGTCACAGGGCTGTGGACTTACTCCCGAATTACCAAGTTCGTCGACGCTTGGTGAAGAAACAAATGGTGAAACGCTACATGGATGGCAAAGGCAAACCCCGAGTCTGTGGTGGCGCAGACCTCAAGAGGTCGCAAGCCTATCCGAAGCAGTTTCTAGGCTAAGCATCTTTGTGAATCTTTGTGATGTTTTGCTGTAGGGTGAAAAAATCAATCTCCCATTCGGCGTCAACCTCTCTTGTTATTCCAACGCCCAGATTCGGTGTCGCCTTGGCGTCTTGCAGAACGAGCACAGCTAAAAGCAGGGCTCGGATGGCAAGGCAGTTCCTGCAGGCAGCACGGAAGAGTAGCAACCAAGCTGATGATCGAAGCCATGTGGACAAAGCGTGGCGAGACGGGGCCCAGTTGGACTCTGTCATGAAATTCTTGACTCAAAAGCCTTAGCTTTTGATTAGATGCAACACTTTACTTTCCCTTTCCCATGTTCAGTCGTGGGCCAAAATTCGACGCCATGGACTTTGAAGCAAAGCTTCATCGAGTTGGGGGATTCAAACAAAAAAGAGCATCGGGTCTCAAGCTGCTGTCAAACACACAGAAAGATCCTCCTCTCCTGCTGCGACACACCTGGGGGATCTTTAGGCTCCTGAGTCCTTGGCTAGAGCTATCAGGTAAACAATAAGATCCTTCTCTCCTGTTGCGACACACCTGGGGGATCTTTAGGCTCCTGAGTCCTTGGCTAGAGCTATCAGGTAAACAAGGGTATCTGGGGGCATCAAGTAGACAAGCTCCAAGGGCAACCAAGGGTATGAAACAACGAAGGTCTTGTAAGGGTATCTACGTGCTTTGCTAGGGCCATCGGATCATGCGCTAAGGGTCACCAAGGGTAACAAAGGGTATCAAGCCCTGGCTTCTCGCAGGACGAGCGCCGATGCCACGCCTCATCTTGAAACGGAGCTTGAGCATAGGTGCATCCTGCGTCATTTGAGATCTGGGAGAGTGGGGTTGGAGTGCGCAGATTGAATTGTTCTGGATATCATTCGATCAAAACCAGTTCAGACAGCTCTAAAAGTGCACAAGTAAATGATGCGAATAGATGCGAAATTGCTGCGAACAGGTGCGAAATGCTGCGAACTGTAGGTACCCCCCCAAATACAAAGAAATGCGCAGGGACAGGTGAGGTCGAGGGCAGGTCACGGTCCGGCAGTGGTGCGAAATGCATGCTTCCGTTTGTATGTAGACTGTCTTTTGTGTGCTCAGGGCATTCGATTCCATCCCCTCTCCATTTGCGCCGTTGATGTCAGCACCGATGCGGCGTGTGCGAGAGAAGTCCTCGCCCGAAGAGGAGAAGGTATCCCGACCGTCTGCTTTGAGGCGACCCAGTGCAGACCAAAAGAAGACAAAAGAAGATAAGAAGACGAAGAAGGTGGAGGCAAAGGCCAAGAAGAATGATGGAGAGACAAACAAGAAAGAGGTCAAGAAGAGCAAAGAAAACAAAGACAAGAAGACAGTGAAGAGTGACCGTGACAAGAAGGGTGACAAGGGTCGTTCCAGCTCCAACTTGAAGGTGAAGGATTTGGAGAAGAAGTTGGACAAGAAGCTGGCTGCAGTGGCGGCAGCAAGTGTGTCCAAAAAAGACAAGGGTGACAGGAGGGAGAAGAAGGCGTCAAAGAAGCGCAAAGCCAACGAGGAGCCTGTGCAGTATGTCCCTGCTGTAAAGAGGCGGATTGAGCACTTGTTCAAGACCCCTGACAGCAGAAAGGCCATCCGGCCGTCGCCTGTACCCTCAGATCAGCCAAGCACAAAGAGTCAAAAGGAGCGCTTGCAAGAGCTGCAGGCCTACCTTGAAGCCACAGGCTCTGACAAGTCTGACTCTGAGGATGGGGCTGAGAGCTTGTCTCAGGCTGAAAAGTCAGAGGCTGAAGATGAAGAATCTTCTGACGAGCGTGAGGGAGCTGAGATTGATCAAGAAGAAGATGATGATGATGAGTCAGAGGATGAATCGGAAGGAGAAGGCAGTGACCAGAGCGAGGCAGAAGAAGGGGAAGAAGATGGAGAATGCGAAGGAGAAGATCGCGAAGAAGAGGCTGATGCTGACGCTGAGGCTGGGGAGCCTGGGGAGCTTGTGGAGCCAACTTCTCATGCTTTGGTGCCTGTGGTGATGGCTGCAGAGCAGTCTGTGGAACCTGTCGCCACTGTTCGACGTAACAGTTACTTATCTATGTACTCAACATAGTTGGCTTTACCATTTTTTACTGTGGTCTTCAAATTCATCAAGTCATAGATCATGCTTCAAACTGTTGCGCATCAACTCATAAATCATGCTAAGGCATTACGAACAAAAAGGATTGGGATTCCTTTGTGCGATCTCAAGGCAGGTTCAAAGTCCATGACTATTACACGAACAACAAACTTGATTGCTTCAACATGTGGCTGGATCACGGCAAATCGTGGGATAGTGTTGCGCTTGCGGTGTCTCGCCTCCACACCCAGCAGAATGAGTCCACCAAAGGCATGACCTCAGTCCAAGGGAAAGAGCTGAAGAAATCCCACACTCCCGAAAAGTATGAAGCCTTGGTGAAGGCCCGTAAGGAGTCTGGCATGTGGTACCCCAGCACTGACTTCCCAGATGACCCCGATGAACCTCAGCTCATATTGAGCAAAGCCTTTCTAGTCTCCTTTTCCCCGTCGCAGTGTCTATGTATATGTATATACATATATGTATATGTTTGGTTCTATGTACCAACATATACGTAAGGAAGCTTGGTACTACATGCCAGCTGCCAAGACGGTGACCCAGAAGGATATCACATCTGAAAGCATGCAGCTCTCAGCAACCACTTCGGTGGATAGTGGCTTGCTGGAAGCTATCACGGATACAGATCATGGTTTCATGCGTGTTGGGGCAATGCCAGCTGTGGAGACCGCTTCGGCTGCGGGTAGCAAGGCTCTTCTGGATGCTATGGGTAAGGCGTGCGCCAAAAAGTCAAAGACAAAGACATCCTACGCGTGTTGGTCTTCTAAGCGTTCTACCTTCACACTGCTTCTGCCTTTCTGCCTTTCTGGCTTGTGTTGGTGGGTTCAAAAAGGATGCAAAAGATCCTACAATGTCTTCTAAGTCCACGCTGCGTCTTCACATGTCCGTTCAAAAAGAATGCAAACTAAAAGGTCTTCTGAGTATATGCTGCTGTCTTTCCACTTCACATGTTCATTCAAAAAGATTGCGAAGAAATCTTGAAAGGTGTTCTAAGTAACTTCAACTTCACACGTTCATTCAAAACGAATGCAAAGAAATCAAGAATGCGAAGAAATATTGAAAGGTGTTCTAAGTAACTTCACATGTTCATTCAAAAAGAATGCAAAGAAATCAAGAATGCGAAGAAATATTGAAAGGTGTTCTAAGTAACTTCACATGTTCATTCAAAAAAATGTCTTCTAAGATCTTCTAAGAGATCCTAAAAGTTCTTCAAGCTTCAACCATCTCTGAAGATCCGTGCCCACCAGGCCGTGGTGAAGAAGAAGGTGGCGAAGGAGCCTGAGGAGGACAAGTCCAAGAAGCTCGAGCCGCAATCTATCACAGAGAGGCTTCAGGAAGGGAGCGTTGAGGCTTTGAAGCTGGCTGGTCAGGCAAGGATTGACTCCATCACCCTTGCAGGCCTTGACTACGCTGAAGATCTTAGTGCAGCCCTTATGAAGAACGCCAGTGAGACTGAAGTATTCTACAAGAAAGTTCAGGGTGCGCTGAAGAAGAAGGTGAGTGACAAAGAGCTCAAGCCCTACATCGCGATTATGGAAGGTAAAGTTCAGCTGATGAAGAAAATGAAGGCTGGGTCCATGACTCATTGCGGTCAAGTCTGACTGAACATCAAAAGGGCAACTACTGGGATTGTACATTTTATTGAAGGTAACAAGTTATACTGTTTTTATATCCCAGATCAAAAAGAAGATACCGCTGAATTCATCGTCAGGTTCAACACCACTATCACTACCATCCAATGGCTGGAAACTTCCCAGAGACATCCTGAGACTTCGCGCCTGTCCAGGCAGCAGCTGCAGCTTTCCTCTCCAGCAAGAAGGGATCGAAGAGGAAGAGTAAGAAGGGCAAGGAATCGAGTGCCAAAGGCAAGTGAACAAGTGTGACTGCTCTTTTCATGAGCTAGTCATTTTGGGGGGCTTCAAAACAGAAGCTGTGGGTAGCCGTGGTTAGGTGCGTGATGACAGTAGGCCATTGACAGAGGATTGATATTCTGTCAACTGTGCAGAGTCATCTGAACTCCAGTTCGAACACGGCAGCTGAGCTTGAGAAAAGAAGGTACTACACTGCGAGGAAGATAGAAACACTGTTTGAAAGTCGTACATCAAATCCAACCGTTTTTGATCCCAAGAGTTCTGAGAGAGCGCATTACCATTCGACCGCCCCTTAACCCAATCTCTGATCGCTCGAGCGCCCTTCAACCCAATCTCTGACCGCCTTCATTCTTGACCGCCCTCATCCAGCTCGCCAGGTCTACAATCTTCGAGGCCGGCCTGGGCAGCTCAGAAATCAGGGATAGCTTTTTGAAAGAACACGCCGACACGAGGATCCATCCATATAGAACATGTCCCTCCAAAAAACAGAGAACCCATTCGCTAGAGCTGGCAGGAAGAGGCAACGCTTGGAGACTTACAGCCAATCCCAAACAGTTACCAAACTGGTAGAGCTTATTGGCACGGGCAAACTCAGTGTCATTGGCGCAGTGGACCTTGCAAACTGCATGATAGAAGATGGAGCTGATCATGAAGCAGTTTGCGCCTTTAGCTCTCTTGGCACCAATGGTCAAAACCCTCAAAATTGTGAACGTGATTTGCACCGATGGCTTGAAGGTCTTGGCATGCGACTTCAGCCCTACACAGTAACGATGGACCTCCAAGTGCTTTTGATTACAAATTCAGTGTGTACGCTACAGCATGGAAAGCCTTGTAGGGGTTTTGATAGCCTGGTACTTTCCAAAGACTTGTTTTCCCTATCACCGTAGGGGTTTTGAAAGCGGGCTTTCTTTATCTCAGCGCCACCCCTTCCCAGTCTGAGGTGGAGAGCCATGAACTGCGACCGCACGAAGTCTCGGTGCTCCTGCCGCACGAGTTGATCCACTGCTTGTCGCAAGATGCATTCGCCTTTAGCTCAATCTTTCTGGGTAACATGAACAAGCCTGCCCGTGTTGGCTTTTGGGAGCATGCAAAAACTCTAGCTCCATGGAGGGATCACCCGGTCTTGCGAAGCTGTGCCCCAGAGCGTTTGATTCCTCTGACAATACACGGAGACGGTGCTCAATTCTTTAGAGACGATGATCACTATGTCTATAGTATCTCATCACTCTTTGGCTGCAATGGATGCATACAAACATCACTGTTGAGCAAATTCCCCATTGCAATAATCCCTGAACGATGGATGCGCTCATCAAGAGCTACTTGGCGTTTGCTTTCAAGCCCTGTGCCCCATGTCTTCCGTGTTTTACAAATGTACCCACCACTAAATCATGGTTCTCTCTTTGGATGAGGCCCAGAAGTCCGTCAACAACACAGTGGCCCGGCTTGTGGCCTGGAGCTTGAAGTGCTCAGCCGAAGGAGTTGCGCCTGACACAGGCTTGTACGGTGAGCCGCTGACTGGATTCAGGGCAGAGATGAAGGGGAAGTCTCTAGGCCCCTGGAAGTCACTAGTCACAATGAATGAATTTTCTTATATTTTCTTATTTCATTACAATGTAAACCCCTCGTATGCAGTATGCATATAAGAATCGTGTTGTGGAAACAACGTCGCTAAGGGGTGCATACTTTGCTTTCAAGGCCGACCTAAAGGCTCGCAAATGGATGCATTCCTTTGAACGATACTACAAAGCAAAGTTGCATTCTGGCATGCGTAAGCTTAGAATTTTCTACTTTTCCCATGCAAACAGTGATCTTGCCATAAAAGGTCACCACGAACCCTTCGTCGTGAACATGTAACGTGCTTACAGAGTATTCGCCATAGCTAAGGATCTGTGACTCTTGCTTGGTTTCCTCAGGGTGCAATTGCCCTCCCGAAATGAACTTCAAGAACTTTGGCGAGGATGCTGCGTGGCCTCTCACCACAGTCACTCACGAAGACTACATGAGGATGCCCGGTCCAAAGAGTGATTGGCTTCAGGTCGAAGGGTTTCGGCTGGAGAACCTTGCATTTGATTTTATGCACAATGTCTTTTTGGGCACGGCGAGGGATTTATGTGGTTCATCCATCAGAGTTCTGCTCCGCTTTGGGTGGTACGACCATGTGGAGGGCGATATCGATTGCAAGCTCGCAGCCATCCAACGGGAGATGGTTAGAGATTGTCGCGATCTTGGGTGTTTGGATTGGACATCAACGTTTTGGTATGTTGCCACCAGAATAGGTCTTGGTGTTGAGGGTTCATGTGGGGCCGAAAACAACAATCTGTACTTCACTTCAAAATAGTTTTAATGTTCAACTTCTGCCCAGGTTCTTCATGCCAAAGAAACCGGTCCTGACAGAAGCGAATCTTTGTAAAGAGGATTACGCCCAGCTCGGAACACGATTCAAGGCTTCCCATGTAAAGCTGATTGTCTTCTGGGTTGCAAGGAAGGTGCAAAAGTCCAGTGAACGTGCGCCAAATGAGGTGGCCAAGATGAGACCGATTAATTTTATATTTGTTTTCAACCCTTGTTGGGCGTAGCAGGTGGTTTGGTCCTGTCGATCGATCGTGCACCACTCCCAGGATCGAGTTATCCATGTGCTTGCAGCCTGCACCTATGCTTTGCAGCGGTGCATTGATTTGTGTGATGCCAGCGGTCTGCTTCTAGACACTTCAGCTGCCTGTGAAGCTGCTGACAGCTTAGTGTTGCACCTCAAGACCTACTCGTGGTTAGCTGCTTTCTTTTTTGCGGAGAGGGCGCTACTTTTTAAGGTTCGCCCAAAGCATCATTACATGTTTCACCAGGCCATGCAGCTCAAAGCCTGGAGGATTAATCTCAATGGCTTTGCGACGTGGGATGAAGAAGGATTTTTGGGGCAGATTAAAGCAATCGCTATTGCTTGTCACGGCGCAACAGCCACCCAGCGAGTGTACCAGAGGTACCTACTTGTCCTAGCTCTCATGGTCCAAAGGCACCGTGAGTTGAACGACCTTTAGATTGCGGGTCGGGCATGGGTCACCAAAGAATGAAAAATTAAGAGAAAGGTGTTGACAGTGCAGTGAATGAACTCCATGCCCATGGGGAATGGGGAAGCCCTGCGGGAGCTTCGGACGCGCGCCTCCAAACCATGGAGGAAAAAACATGGCGGCTGCCCGCTACCCACGGCGCCCTGAATAGTTACCACCTATACATCCATGGGGCACGTGATGGCCATGAAGATGTGGGATTTGATGTCGCCAGCGGTTCACCTAGTTGCTCTGCATGTCGGCGTGTGTGTGTCTGTTTTTTTACCTTTTCTTAGGTTCGGTGTAGTGTTCGGTGTATAATATATATATATAGGTAAATAATAGATACGTGAAAATGACTGCGGGAAGCCAAGAGCGGCGCGCGTATGCACACCTTGAGTTCCAAAGCCAAAACGTTCTTTAAAAACCAACGTTTCACGGAAACGGCCACGCTCTAAGCGCAAACGCTCTTTTAAAAAAACGTTTCACGGAAACGACCACGCTCTAAGCACAAACGTTCTTTAAAAACAACGTTTCACGGAAACGACCACGCCCTAAGCAGGCGCTTTTAAAGAACAACGTTGGATGGAAACGGGCACGCTGAGCAGCACGCTGTCTGGAAAACACGTTTGGTGGAAACGGCCACGCTGAGGGGAGCGGGCGCTGTCTGAAAAACACGTTTGGTGGAAACGACCACGCTGTGCCATGAAACCATACCCACAAAGTGGCCATGCTACACTCCAAGGCTGCTATAGTCAAGAATTTTGCGTTTTTAACTTTTTTGTGCTCTGCGATGCAAACGACAGCGTTTGCTGCTGGTGAAAGCGTTATTATCAAAACATTGCCAATTGCATACAATGATGTCCTATTGGCGACGTTGGATCCTCTAGGCAATCCGTTCAGCATCTGTTGACTCATACCCCGAAGAACCCCTTTTGTCAAGCCTGCTCGAGAGCAAAGATGACCAAACGTCCATCGTATAGCAAGGGTGGTTCAACCCAGGTAGATGCGGATCATTTCGGACAACATTTGACTGCTGACCATCTCGTTATTCGTGACGATGAGGAAATGGACATCGATGGGGCTCGCGTCGCATTGGTCGTGAAAGATGTGGCAACGGATTTCAGATATGTCTATCCGGCCGCACGTCGATCAACACGTGAATGCATAGCAGCCTTCAAGCATTTTGTCCGTTCGACTGATGATGTAGGAGTATTTTATTCCGACAATTCACCAGAACTCATCGCGACTGCCGAAAGGCTAGGATGGAGGCATCAAACCAGCTTTGCATACGTCTCTAAGACTAACGCTATGGCTGAGAGATCGATTCGGTCTGTCGTCGATGGAACAAGGGTAAACCTAGAGCAAGCTGGCCTACACCATCAATATTGGGCTCACGCTGCCAGGCATGCATGCATGGCAAACAACATCGTCGACACCCGGGAGGGTAGTTCGCCTTGGTCGCTTCGATTCGGTGAGAAGTTCACAGGCCCTTTGGTTCCCTTTGGGTTGAGGATTGATTACTGGATCGGCCCCAAGAACAAAGCCAAATCCTCTCTCAGGTTCGAGCCAACGTCAAACCCAGGGATATTCTTGGGATATGCCGTTCAGTCCAATTTTGTGTGGAGAAAGGAGTTCATGGTTCTACCATTGAAGGATGTCATGGAATCAGACTTCAGTGCGGAGATTCAACCATTAAGAGTCCATCAGATCGCCGTTCCCGACATCGGGTTACACTTCCCATGCAAAGGCAGGTACAACATGATCAGAGAAGGTTTGTACCCAGGCATTTCCATTTCGAGCAATCCGCCATCAATTGATGATGTCAAGGCTGCAAACATTGAAGAGCTTGTTGATCAGGAGGTTTTGAAACATGCTGTTGACCAAGAGTATGAACCTGATGAACCACCAGAACTCCCTGACGTGCTTGTTGACGATGCACCCATCGCCGCTCGCGGGTCGGGAGACCTTGCCGACGATCCGGGGGGTGAAGAGGTTGAGATGATTGAGGTTCTTGATCCTGTTACGGGTGAAACGACTTTGATCCCCAAAACCGATTCATCTTACTATGATGCCGGAGGTTACAAGGCAAGAAAATACAAGGGTTCGTCAAAACCACCCAGCATTCCTCCGTTCCTTTGGAAAGCCGCTTCCAAAGCAGAGAGGAAGAAGGCGATTGCAGAGTATGAGCTTGAAGAGGCTCGGAAGCGCCTTCTTGCTGAGAAGAGCAAGCATAAAGCAGCCGTGGCAGAGATTGACGGCAAACTGCGAAATTTCAAGAGCGGAGACATCCCCTCTGAAACGAAAATGGACGCCACCTGGGAAGGTGTGCCTTTGATGCCGGTTGAACATGAGGAGAAACAGCATTCACATAGAGAAAAAGGAGTTCTGTATGAGCCATGGCTAAACGCACTAGTGGCGAGGCCTGTAGGCCAAAAGGAAATCCGCAACACCCCAGATGCTCAACGCTCCCTCGACGTTGAGTGGGTGAAGCTGGAGTCCAAGCCCGCTTGGCTTTATGATAAGGTCCGCGAATGGGACGAAGTCTCAACCGAAGCAGTCCGTTCAAAAGCCAAGGTCCATGTAGGTAATGTTTTCGAACTCTGTGTTGAGAAAGGCAGTGAGCTTCCGAAAGGAAACCCCCTTAGGAAGTACAAAGGTCGGACAGTGTTCCAGGGGAACAAGGTCAAAGACGAGTCCGACATGGTTGCCCTCTTTTCAGAGCTAGGATCAGCACCTGCGAACATGGAGGCGGGCAAAGCCCTCGACTGCTACGGCAGCGCGCCCGGGAATAAAATCACCCAGGGCGACGGCAAACAAGCCTACACCCAAACCACTTTGAAGGGGAAACCCACCTGGATCAGGATCCCGAAATACCGGTGGCCGAAAGCATGGCACGGTAAGTATAAAGATCCTGTCATCCCGCTCGTACTTGCTCTCTATGGTCACCCAGACTCAGGCGGATTCTGGGAGAGGCACTGCGAGGATTGTCTCGCAAAGGTCGGCTTCAAGGCCGTGCACCCTGAGTGCTGGCCATCGATCTTTTGGCATGACAAATTGTTCCTCTTGTTAGCGGTCTATGTAGATGACTTCAAAATGGCCGGACCTGCGTCCAACCATGCGGAGGGGTGGAAGCTCATTGGCACCCACATCGATATGGATACCCCAGAAGATGTGGGGAGATACTTGGGCTGTGATCATGTTGTCACACATGGCATCAAGCTGTCCACTGACCATCACCCATTCGCGCATGTTTTCGACCACAAGCTCGAAGATCCTGCTAGTAAGCCAGCGGCTCCCGCACGCCGAACACAGGATTATTGGACTCATTTCCCTGAGCATGGTACCTTTGTGCATCACCACGTTCAACCCCGAAGGCGCTTTGAAATCAGGCCTGCTGGCGTTGAAGGGTTGTTTGATCCTGGAGATCTAAGGTACACGGAATATGTCCCATGCACGGAGGGATCCGCTGCCAAGGACACGGGGGGTACCGCGTGTGTTTGGCACGACATCAAGGTTGACCGGCAACAGGGATTGCCCTTTTGGTGGACAGGGGAGACCTTCTTCATCGACAGGTGCATTTCCGACCCCAAGATGGCTGTTGCAGCCGTCAAAAAGATGAGGGACAAGAGTCAGGCCAAGAAGGCCGCACGTGCCCAAGGATTCACATTTTTGGATCAACTTGAAGATGATCAGAGTTGCATGAACAAGCCTGTGACACGGGTCGAATACGACATGCGTGGCTTTCTGAGGCAATGCCTTGAGAAGTATGAGAGTCTCGTCGATCAGCCCGTGAAGTTCAAGACAGTCAACACTCCGTTTCACGACGATAAGATTGCTAGACCCATAGGTGATGAGGCAGAACGCCGGGGGGAACTCCAGGCCATCGCGAGTCGAGTCCTCATGAAAGTGTTGTTCGCAGCACGCATGGCACGTTTTGACTTGCTCAGAGCGACTCAAGGTCTTGCCAGCCGTGTCACCAAGTGGTCAAAAGAGTGTGATGTTGCACTGCGTAGGCTAATGTGCTATATCTACTCCACAATCGACGTCGTGCAATCAGGTTTCATCGGAGATGATCCCCAACATTGCAAACTGTGGTTGTTTGCCGACAGTGACCATGCCGGAGAGCATGATAGTCGTTCAACTTCAGGTTGCATTCTGGCCATGGTAGGTCCAAACACCTACTTTCCCCTTACTGCGTTTTCGAAAAAGCAGACGGCCACCGCCATGAGCTCGACGGAAGCGGAAGTAATCGCCGCTAACCTGTCGATTCGCACAGTTGGTTTACCTTCCTCCTGTCTTTGGCAAGTCATACGGCAGGCGGGGGGAGTCACAAACGCCAATGTGCAAAGCTCGGCCGTGGGGACACGTGCCCGGAACGCGAAAGTCGATGTTTGGGAGTTTGATCCATTGAAAGATCAGGTGATTAGGAGACATGTTGAACCCAGACACACCCTATTTGACCCAAGAGACTGTGACGACTGCCCAGTCGATCATAAGTTCCTGTCAGCCCAAAGGATCACGATTGCACAATTCAAGGATGGCACCTTTGATGCAGACGTGAGCTGGGATTGGTCCAGCAGGGAAGGACAGAGAGTCATGAAGGGGGAATGGACGGGTATGACTATTTTCCGAGTGCCTGGCCCGAACGAAATCGATTATGGTGTTGAATCACGAGAAATTAGGAACGCACTCACTGACTCATGTTACGTTGGTCAAGGTCGGGAAGGTTCCATGGACATTTACCTCATAGGTAAAGGAGCTTTCGAAATCGTGTTTCTGGAAGACAATCAGGCGACCATTAGAATCCTTGAATCAGGCAGGTCACCCGCTTTCCGGCACGCAGACAAGACGCAACGATTGAACCTTGCGTGGTTAGCTGAACAGTTCCAACGGAAGCATTTCACGCTTGTTTATGTTCCATCCCTTCTTCAAGCAGCGGACATTTTCACCAAACCATTCACCAGTACCGAGAAGTGGAATCAACTACT